TGAAAAAAACATCCCTCATGAATAACACAGTGTTGCTTCAAGATTCATTGCATCTAAAACCTGTTGTACACTGAATGTGAAGTTGAGACTTGGCCATGTTGCAGCTACACACTCTCCTGAACATAAACTATAAGTAGCTTATCACTGCCACATTTCATTTTTAGTCTTTAACAATGACCGAGATTTTGGTCTGGTACCAGTGCTCATCTAGAGACACATCTGGACAATACTGATTGGCCCAAGTTAAAAACATGGTGGAATGATGGGATCTATGCTGATATAACAGTGTGGATAGCCACAGGTTGGTGCTGGAATCAACACATTATCCCAGTTTAGTTTGCTAGCACTGGAATCACCATGCAGTCTTAGAGGTAGTTACAACATACTAAAGTATTCAGGAGTTTTCCCAATAATTATTTTTGTTGTATATTCATTTGTTCTTTGTAGTCTGCATCACTGCAAAAGCACTGTTTATTCAGATGATGTTTGCTCTAGAAGTAAAGTATTATTCAGGAGAAGTTATGTTGGAAGACATGACAGATTTTCTGGGCCTGTCTGTACCCTGCAGCTGACCATGGTGCAAAGATCACTGATGTAGATCTAAGCAATCTGCTCTATCCACGTGAGACTGTCAGTGCCAGAAATATTTGCTTAGGGGCCGAGTGTAAGATACCAAGGCATGACACTTGTCTTGAGAATGTAAATAAATTCATGACTGGCACAAAGAAGGTTAAGAATGACTGTCACTGGTCTCTTCCATAGTGGTAGTGGGGATTCAAGTAACAGTGGGAGAGAATTTTAGAATGAAAAAGTGATGGTAATTTTTTTGTTGATGTACAGACCTTCTTGCTGCAGTTGCTGAAAGTTTGTACAGGTTGAAGGAGGAATACCCAAACTCATGGGTGAGAAATTCATTATTCATTACTAAAATCAGTGAAACCATATCTGGCTTTGGAAGTCCATGAGCACCTGAAGAAAACTGGGTACTTGAATACTCGGAGGCATAATGTTGCATATAGTCACGCTGTTCTTATACTCTTCCCTGTCCATCTTCTTTTGGTCACTGTTGGATTCAGGGTGGGTGAATCAGCACTGAGTTCTTCTGCATACTGTATTGCACAGTGTCCCTTAGGAAGTGAAAGGAAGCAGTTGGGGTTATCCACCTCACAAGTGAATTGTAATGAACTGTTTCATTCTGTGTCTCATTTGAAAGCTACCTTGGAAAATATAGTTGAAGGAGGCTGAGTGGATTTTCCATTGGCTTTCATAGCTATGCTCTTGAAAGCAAGAAAACAGTTTTTATACTGGTGCACTTGGTCTTTAAGAGGTACGGTCAAAGAGTACAGAAGGGCTGGAAAAAATTAATGGCAGAAAAACCATCAACAGAGTACTGATCTGGTGTCAGCCTCCGTGCTCTGACTCTTTGTCTGTCCTGCCTACACCTTCCTGCAGTCCTGCTTGATGCTTGTAGCACAGCTCTTCCGTAACTGGGAGAAGATAGTTTTTGTGATGGATTGGTGCTCCATCCTCCAGAACTGGAATGACACTTTTAGACTACATTTCTTCATGCTTAACTGTTCTTCTTCATGCCAAACCAAATGAGTTCTGTCTTGAAAGCCAAACCATCTGAGAGGGATTATAAAAGAGAGACTACTAATGGCTGTTGTTGATCATTCAAATGATATCTCATTGAATAGTAGATGAATCTCCCTGCTGAGGTCATATTTCTGTATTGTGGGACCTCAGCAAACTTGATAGTGTACTCCAGGAATATAGCTAGTATTAACCGAGCAGTGACCCAGTGACTTTTCTATATATTTTTCACTGCTATCCCAGTTTCTTGGCTTATTATGTGATGCATTTGCTGTATCTCATATTCAAGGACTTCTGTTTGGTCTTCCTCCTTCGTCGCAGAAGAGTAAGAAATACCAGTGTTGTGTTTCACCTTGATATTTCTCTTGAAGCCTTGCATTCTTGCATTCGTTGTAGTTCACATGGAGCCATGTCTTTACACTTTGGCAAAGGGCAGTAGCATTTTTGTGGAGGAAGTTATGCTGAACTTAAAGGCTGAAATCTGCTACCAAAGCAGTTTCTTCTGCTTCTGTCTTTCCCTGACACAAGTAAGCTGCAATGCACTGTAGCGAGATATTTGATGTTTTTGTGCCCCTCTCGCTCTTGCAATTACTGACCTTCTCAATTTTCCTAGGGGCACTCTCTGATGTTAAGGCAATGGTGTTTTGTTTTAGATTTGAGATATACTGAATTTCAGAGAGCATGCACTGACGGAGCTTGCTTTTCAAATATTATTGTGTGTATTGGACTGATTCTTAAATAGAGAGCTTAGTCTTTCTTTCGTGTGTTTGGATTTCTCTCTTTCTAGATTGCTGAAGTCAGTGACTAAGGTGACTGTTCCATAAAGCAGCATTACACTAGAGAAATGCATTTTTCTCTGATCCCCTATGTATGAAAGTATTTGCAAAATCTAATGCCAGCTTCATGACTGAAGTCCTTCCTTTTCTCCAACGCCATAGTCAAAATATGGTAAAAGGCATGTATCTGATATCGTAGTATTGAGTATGGAATGGGATGAAATAGAAATACAGATTTCTGGATTTTTGTCTACTTATGTGAACTGGACAGAAATTACAGCCTGCCTGTGTCTGTGCTTTGCTATCTGTGGAACAAGGATATAGTATATTCCTTTCTTAAGAGTACTAAATTTGAGTTAATTACAAAGTCTGTGATAAATCTTAGAAGTTCAACAATGACATAGTGTGAAAGTATATAATATTAATGTTTTATAATATCTCTAATCTGTCTCTGTGGATATCTCTAGTAAGAGGTATATAGTATATCAATATATAGGATATAGGATATCCTATATATAGGAATAGAATATATAGGAATATAGGATATCAAAAGAAGTCTTTTTTCACCCCAACCTTTTTCTTTAGAACCCAAACTGAAAGCTGTTTCCACCAACTGCCATCTCTGTAACCATCTGGAAAATAACATTTTCTGATGCTTTCCTTCTCTTTATCAGCTGTAACTAAAACTATAAAATGAGAAGATGTCCCTGCTTTAATTAACACCCCTGTAGTTCAGAAGCTTAGTAATGAAAGGCAATTATAGCCTTTATTGAGGGACAGTCAGGTGGAACAAATTCAGCATCCATCTATTGAAGACACTTCCCCTTGCAGGTAATTTGGAAACTGCTTTTTACAAAGAGCAGGCTACCTATCCCATTATAACTGGTGAAACAATTTTTTTGTCACCTGAAAAGAGTTTCCTGTTTTTAATCTATATATTTTGTTTGCAAATTACTTCTTACCTCCCATGCATTTCCCAATAACTAGCAACTGAGCTAAGGAAGTAAGTGTAACTTTTTGGAGGACGTTCTTGCTGGTTCTTTCATTTTATCTCCTTTGTTCTGTTGTTGTTTTTCGTTTTGAAGTTTGTCGGCTGTATACGAAGTGTTTCTTTAACCATCCCTGTATGGATATCATGGTAACTGAGGGGTTTCAAGTTATGCTAGATGCCTCTGTGTGGATTTAAATCTTCAGTATCTACAATGCAGGCACCTACGTTGTGATAGTCTCTGAAGGTGGAGCTGTGCTTTTGATGAAGATGCCGATGATGGGGTGTTTCCATGTGGTTGTGAGCCTGTGCAGTAGATACCTAGAATCTTCTGAAGTCATTAGGTATCTACTCAGTCTAATGGGGACCTAGAGAATACAGTCAATGGAACAGTCAGTAGTGTCTCTACAGCGTAATGTACAGTAGACAGGTGTTGGAATGGCAGTTAAGTAACTCATCGCTGCCTATTTTCATTAAATCTTTGTTGACTGTAAAAGCACCCTGGACTCTTAGCACACATGTAGATACCTAGATTTATGTATTTCAATCTTCAGCTGAAGTCTGTTGTGTGATTTCAGTTATAATCACTGTAGAGAAATAGGTGTATCCTGAGAAGAAGTTAGTGACTTGTTTTAGGCATCTAGATATAGATGAGAAGTACTGCATTTGAGAAGTATGGATTTCTATTCATTGTCTTTAAGGGAAATCTATATAGTGGTATCCACATGGTCATTGCATACCATGTCTGCAGGATTCCCAGCCATCCTATTTTGGAAGCTTTGGTACTATCACTTGCAATCTTGTGAAATGTAAAGCAGTGTAATGTGAAAAAATTGACATCATTTTGAAACAGAATCCTACGCTTGTTGGATTTAGAATGAGGGTCTAGCTGTGATTTTACTTTCTGGAAAATATGCTGTGAACATTCTCTGTCCTGGATTAGTTTAGCATTGTGGCAAAATAATATTTCCCAGATTGTTTGAAAAAGCTGTAAAACTCTTAAGAGATGCTGGTAAGTTCTTTATTCTTCAGTAACTGAAGGTGGAGCAGATATTAAACCCCTAAAATCCTATGGCATTCCAGTTTTCAGAATTAAATGGCTTTTAGAATGGTGCCTGTGAGAAAGGTTTATTCTGTATGGAAGACAGTTTTAAAAAGACTTCCATTGATCTGTGTCTGCTGGCAACAGTGCTGTTGACTCACCCTTGCCAGCAGACACAGAATTCAGATGCTATTGGTGTACTCTGGTTTTGGGGCAGGGCAACACCAACTCCTTTCAGAAATATTGTCGAGGTCACCTATTTTCAGTATTTCCTGTACTGTGTGTGATGCAGGATGGACATGAAATTTCTTTAGCAAATAAATGCAGTATTTAGAAGACTGCAGAAGTAAGGTGGATTGCTGATTCTTTCATCTTTCCCAGTCCTGCGTGTACAGTTCTATTTTAATGTGTATTGTTTGCTGTGGCTAGGGGATACATGTGAAGAAAATGTGAAAATCCTGTGACGGTGATGCCCTCATAGCCGCTGTTGCTTTGGACCTGCCTGCAGCATTGGAGTCACTGTGATTTGTGCAGCCTGTCTGAACAGGGAGCTGTTAGTGATCAACTAATTGCTGACCTGTGTTTTCATTCCCCCTCCCAGGTTACGGGCATGCTGCCCCAGGAACAGACGCAGGAAAGGCCTTTTGCATGTTCTACGCGGTCCTGGGGATCCCACTGACACTCGTCATGTTCCAGAGCTTGGGCGAGCGCATGAACACTTTCGTCAAGTACCTCTTGAAACGCATCAAAAAGTGCTGTGGGATGAGGAGCACCGAGGTCTCCATGGAAAACATGGTCACTGTGGGTTTCTTCTCCTGCATGGGAACACTCTGCATTGGAGCAGCAGCCTTTTCCCAGTACGAGGAATGGAGCTTTTTCCATGCTTACTATTACTGCTTTATAACATTGACTACGATAGGTTTTGGAGACTATGTGGCCCTGCAGACCAAAGGGGCCCTTCAAAAGAAGCCTCTCTACGTGGCTTTTAGCTTTATGTACATTCTAGTGGGGTTGACAGTCATTGGGGCATTTCTAAATCTGGTTGTTCTCAGGTTCTTAACCATGAACAGTGAGGACGAGAGGCGGGATGCTGAGGAACGGGCGTCCCTGGCAGGGAACCGCAACAGCATGATTATCCACATCCAAGAGGACTCCCAGCATGGTCGGCCACGGTACAAGGCCGAAGTAACAGACCTTCAGTCAGTTTGTTCCTGCATGTGTTACAGGTCCCATGAGTACACCAGCCGGGTGGTGTCCCACCAAAATTCGTTCAGCTCGAAGCTGAACCCCCAGTACTTTCACTCCATCTCTTACAAGATAGAGGAGATCTCGCCAAGCACATTAAAAAACAGCCTTTTCCCATCTCCTGTCAGCTCCATCTCACCTGGGTTGCACAGCTTTACAGATAACCACAGGCTGATGAGAAGGCGAAAGTCCATTTAAAGTGATTTGTCTTTTGCTTTCCTTGTTTTCTCCAGTCCTTCTCTGTTGTTTTGTTTTTTCCGTTCCTTGAGTGAGACGGAGTGAGGCCAAAGGGAGTAGAGAAAGCCAGTCCTCCTCTGAGACTCAGCTCTTGAGCATGAAGCATGGATTATTACTGTTCCAGCAAAGTATGCCTTACATTACCCCCTCGGTGGATGTCAGAGGATTCAAGGTGACGTGAAGTGGGTACCAAATCCAAAGTTGCACACACAGCTGGGAGCCTTCATGTGCCACTGGCACTCCTGACCTAATAAACTATTTTCCTCATGGGCAGGTTGCAGCATGCGTGTGTGCTTGTGTGTGTGTTGGGTGTGTGTGGGTGTGTGAGCGTGCAATTCCACAACTAGTGCCATGCGACAAAAATTAAAGCATCAGGTATTATTTTTTTTCCCTTGAGGCAATTGTGTTCCAGCCTGCTTTTATCTTTTTGATTGCTTCCAAACAGAATGGGGAGGTGGGGAGGGGAGCCAATTTGTTTTTTTTTATTTGCCAAGACAAGCATGCGCCATAAGCAGTCAATATACCAGGTGTATCATGGTAAATTTTTTAATGCTAGATTTTAGATTGTATTATCATTACAAAAAGGCAGGAAATGAGGGATCATTTTAACTTGCCAGTTCAAAATTTAAAAAGTAAAATAGAGCATGCACTTTGTAAAACTGGTATGCATAATAAAAACACCAGAAAAAACTAGCAATGGAATTAATAATCAAAAGCAAGTAATCCTATTGATTTAACTATATTTACTTTCACCGTTTGAAACTGTTCCAACAATTTGCAGATGGAATTATTTAAGGTAAATTGGAAAACCTGTTGGAACTAAGGAGTGTGTTTTGTTGTTTTTATTTTATTTATAAAAATTATTATTAATAATATTATTTTTTATTATTATTATTATTTTATTGTGCAGCAATTACCTGCATGAATAGGAATTCTATTTTTTGGAATGCTTGGATTAGGATGGGTATAAATAGGTGGATGTATATTTTTTCTTATATAATAGTGACAGAGCATTCCTTGTTTTAAATAAAAAATAAAGATGATTGTCTCTAAATGCTTTTGATTTGTAAATAATGGAAAGCCTTTGTTGGTCTCAGGAAGAATTCAAGGGACAGTATCTTGTGTTTGGCTCACTGGGAACTTGTGAGATTAGATGTGATATTGCTTCTTTCCTATGTGGAAAGGCAAAATGCATTTAGCACTCATGGGCAAAATCAGCTTTACTCCAGTATTTAGAGGTTACCACTGGGAGTAATTGCATTGGCAAGCTGTAGTAGATGATGTTGAGACCATGTGATAGAGTTGTTCCTTGGAGATCGTCCATTGCTTGGTTACTCATCTGGACCAAACAGATTTTACAAAACCAAATTAGAGGCCTAATCCAGCTCCCTTTTAAGACAATAGGAATTTACAGTGATTACATAAGATTTAGTGCTTTGGGAGATTTATCTTTGATTTGACGGGGGCAGGACTGGGAATTTTATAAACCTGCAACATTGTCTTTGTTTTAATCCTATCTTTTAAATCGCCTTCTGTGTTAATTTGTCATACTAAGCACATCTTTTTTTGGCACTATGCACCTCCTGCTGATTCTACCATTTTGTGCTTTCAGTGTAAAAGCAATAATCCTCTATATTTAACTTTTTTTTTTTTTTGGTAGATAGTGTGTTTTCACAAAAAAACCCAGCTCTAAGCTCTGTGTGCTAATGGACATTGATATCCTTTCAGAAGGCCATCTATGAAGAGCATTAAAAGGGAGAAATAAGGAACGCCCTTCTTTTTCTGTTCTCCTTGACCTTAAGTTATTAACAATATCAAACACGTTTGTGTTCTCCTAATTTTGATATTTGTGTTTCAACAAGTGAATGAAAAGCAAGGATCCATACCTTTAAGTTCAACGTGTAACTTCCTTCGGGATTTTAAAATGCTGTGGCATGAAAATCTCCATTTAGGTTACTTAGAATTCGTAATGAGAATGGATGAGAATGAACTTTTCCAGCCTAGCATATGGGAATAACTTTTGTCAATGTAGTAGGAGAGCATGCTGGATGCATTAATGATGTGCTGCTTGCACCATGTCCTGAGGCAAGTGCTGATGGCAAAAGTGTTGAAGCAAGAGTACCTCGAAAAGCAGCTTCAGGATGTATTAAAGCACTCCAGTCAAAACCACCTAGAAGCTAGTTTCTGAAGAGTGGCCCATAGGGTTCACAGTGCTGTCAAATTCTCTTTGATAGCTTTGCTGACAGTATCCCAGAACTGCAAATAATTGTAGGTTTCTTTTCCTGCTAAGGAGAAAAGAAAGAGTATATACATGTCCACATCATGTAGAAGGGCTGATGTATACACGACACTTGAGAAAAGCAGGAAATCTTTGGGATGTTACAGATTTCAGGAGGGTGAAATGCCGTCTGCCTATTAAAGAAAAACGTTTGTAACAGGACTTGTAACCAAAACTTTGAACAGTTTGGTCAAAAAGCAGTTACGTTTTTGAAAGCATCGCTTTGCCTTTTTTTTCTTCCTTTTAGAAAAAGAAAATCCTGTTTCTGCTGCGTACAAAAATAATTTTAAATGTCCTGTAAATCGTGTTGAACTCCAGAATTTCAAAGCTATATTCCAGCTGAGTTATTACTCATTCTCTTCTCTGAAACCATAAACGAAGTTAAATGAAGGGTATATTTTAGTACAGGTGGTATTTAACCAGGGGAGCAGCTTATCTAGTGGGTCATGGGCTGTCTGCCAATTGGAATCTTTGTGTTAAAACACAGTGGCTTTCTAAATGCTCTTGTGTAGCGTAGTCACAGTTTCTGGATGTGGATAACGAAATGTCTGTGTGCTGATATGAAGGGGCCATATCCACAGTGATGCTTTTCAGACAGTGAGTTGGTGGGAGGGCATTTGGGAAAAGTGTCTGCATTCCTTAGGATTTAAAACTATTTTCATATGGTTCTACTTTCTGTCTGAAGAACTCACGATTCTGTCCATTCTGTATTTCTGGTCGCATGAGATTTTGAAGTGGCAGGACATTTTCTTTGCAAGCCTCCTTGCATTCAGATACTCACATGAACTCCTACAGAACTTTTCTTTGTGAGCAGCCACAGATACAAGAATGCTTGTGTGAAGCCTCGGTAAACCAGGCAAAATATGCTGAAAATGCTTCTCTCTCTCTTTTTTTTGGTGGTACTTGACTGATGTGTGAATAATGACTTGGGCTGTCTGGAGCTAGAACAGGCAGCACTATAAAAAAGTTGCTTTTGTCAGGGGTTAATACCAGCTTTCCAGCAGAACATGCAAAATCAGTCAGTGAAAGGTGATTTTTGCCTGTTCCATTTCTGACAACTTACTGACCTATGTGAATATCAGCTTTCTTCCACAGTGCTGCTTTTCACAGCATATTTTCTCTGGTACGCTATTGGTTTTATTCCACTTAAGGTATTATTTCTTTCAGGAGAGCCTTTCTTGCTGTCTAGTCACTCTTCAGAAGCAGGTCTAGTCATGAGAAGACATTCTAATATCCAAAGTACCTAATCTATGTTTCCATAGCACGCAGACTTTTGATATCACTTTGTGACGCACTGTCATTCCCCAGAGTCTCATTTCCCCTATTATTAAGCATTAGAAATAATAATAATAAATCAGATTAATCTATTTATGTCACACTAATGTGCTGTTCATCAAAACAACACAAATTTAGCTCCCTGCTGTCAACTTTGATTACATAACAACCCTATTATCCTATCATATTTCATATTATTATCAAAGGAAAAAAAATTAGTTTGATCAGTACAGCACCAAAATAGCTTTGTCTGAGCATGCTGCGATGTGGAAACAAAAGGGGAAACAATAGAACTGTACAGACACAACTCTGCTTGGTCTGCATCACTACACAAGGAAGGTCCCAACTGACCTAACTAGGGCTTCTTTGCCAGAACTTTGTATATATATATATATATGCTTTACAAGGATAACTGTAATGGGACTTATCTAGATGGGGTGTCTGGATGTTAGTTAAAGGACGCAGAACAGGTCTTGGTTGTTATTGTATGGAGAAGATGTACAGTGGTATTCAGCAGTAGACTTCTTTTTGGATTCTTCTGTAGTAGCTCATTAGAACAGAATCATCAGCTTAAAGGAAAAAAAAAAAGAAGTGACTAAATTAATCTACTGTAATATAGGTTGTCTCATCAGTTTCTTAGTGCTTCGATCGAAGAATCATGATTTCTGTGCATTCATCTTGAGCAAGATAATTTCTTGTTTTCTGTGATAGGTTTGAAGCTTTTGTTATGGAAAAAAAAAAAAAAAAGGAATCATTCATTGTAGAAAACTTAAAAAAGAGCAGCCAATATAATTGGGATGGAGAAAGGAAATGTTCCTTTCCCTTGCTCCTCTGCGGACCAGAGAGCAAGGGCTTGGGTGGAAGTAGCTTTCAGTTGGAGTTTATGTCCTCATTTAGCTTTATGCAATATTCCTGTTAATATTAGGATCCAATTAAGACAGTTATTTAAAATCTTTATGAGGAAGCCAGACCAGAGAGATGTGTTGGAGTGTGTCCATTACACTAATGTTATGGACTTTTTAATGCATATTTCAACAAGACACTGTTATTGACTGGAATCTGCACAAATTGCAGCGAGAATCGTGCCACCGCTACTGTCAACAACTAGAACTGCATAATACTCACAGAGCTGAAAAAGAAATAGTCTTTCTAAGCAGCCTGCCTGTCATCTGTCTTTAATATCAAACTTTATTTTGGGAACTTCAGTAAGACAAACCATGTGAAAAGGATTAACCACCATAATGATGCACCAAAATAAAAATAAATAGAATAATGACATTGGACACAGAGAAATTGATTACAGATGGAAGGCACTTTGGGACGCTTACGCTAGTTAATCTGAGCTCTGAGACTGAATTAGAGCCATGAAAACTGTTGGCAGCCTTCTCCAAAACGCAGTTTGCAATTA